CCTGTACCAATCAGCTGAGGGGAAATAGAAGTTTTACCTTTTTCAGTGTGAACCAAATCATTCTTTACAACTGTAAATAGTACATAGTAAAGTTAATGCAACTCAAGGGATTTATATGTGAACCTGGATATAAGGTGCAAGTTACTTTTGGACCAAGTCAGGCCTCAAAGTAGTGTATATAGATAACGCGGAGCTAGGCTTACCAGACACAATAGTTTCAGTAGAATTTCCATTTACTGATAGCGCCAATTGAAGGATTCATATATAATTGGATAATGAAATAGAAAGAAAGATAGATGTTACCGTCATACTATTTCTATTGGTTTAAAATAGACACCAGACACATGGCTGTACCCTGATTGGATCAGGTGCTAATGGACTTGGAATACAGGAGTGCAGAAAAAGGAATATCGGTGTTCTATACCAGGAAAGAAAGGAGAGGGATACACCATGATGAAACTGGGAAACAGTTATTTATAATCAAGGATCGAACAAGAGAGGTTCAATGGAAAATACATTTGCTGTTGGAGGCAAATGTCATGTTGAATGAGCTCTAATCCATCTTTTAATCACTATCCTAGTTGAATACATTTAATCTGTAAATATAGTTCTGTGTTAAAAATGTGTGTCATTATGCAATCCAATCTTGATGATGAAATTCCTTATGTTTTGAGTGCGCCCTCACATAATTAAATCAGGCCAGAATCACAACTAGCAGTCTTTGTGTATTGTTATAAAATGTCTTCTGTCGACACTGAGAGGGACAACAACGTCCATGAAATGTGATCCACGAAACTTTCACGATGGCAGGGATAAATACTTTCCCTGTTATCCTACAGTTATATAATAAGTGCAGAGGAGCTGGGATATGGGCCAAGATGGTTCTGGAAGCTGAGAATGGGAAGGAGACTATAACCTTCTCATCAGTAACCAAGCCTGTAGCCGCAGTGTCCTTAACCTCTGCACCAGGAAGGAGAAAGAAATCTTCTAAGGTGAAAAAGGACAGGAAGAGGAAGGAGGCCTGGTTGAGAAGAGAAGTCAGGAGAAGGAAAAACCTTCTCAGACCGGAGAAATATCTACCCCGAAAGAGGCCTGGTTGAAGTCTACAGCTTAATTGGAATCCTACACCCAGCCGGGCTTTGTCAGGTCAGATCAACAGGTTAAACCAGTTCAACCGAATACAAACTTCACTGATTCCTGCAGTACAGAAACCTTATGCAGTACACTTTGTAGTACGGAGAAGGAAAAAAATTTTAAGCTGAGGAAGCAGCTCAAAATTCAGGAGATATAATCAGGACCCCAGGGGGAACTTTCTTAGCAATGCTACAACCTGTACTTGCTGGAGAGGGGGTAAGTGTAGGTAGCAAACACACTTCTCTTGTCCCTGGGACACAACTTGGCGATACCAAGGACTTTGACATGGATACGAACATGATAAGGATTGAGAAGGAGGACAGGAATAGTTTATGTACTAAATGTGATGGAGGGTCATATTGATCTGAGACAATCTGCAGTACAGAGAGTGCCTGGGTTGCACTAGAACCAAACCCTAAATCAAGTACAAACCTCATGAAAGAATGCAAATCCAACCTGCATAAAAAGATTAATAAGCATCTTGTGAACTGTTCTGTTTGTTTAAATGTGAAAACCTGTTTGATTATTAATGCAACCCTGCCTGTCCACAAGCTAAATCTAAACACCCCTGTGTATAGTAATGTTCTAAACTAAGAAAATTAAAAATGATATTCACTTAACTTATCATTATAATCTGTGTATATTAAACATTTACGTTTGATAAATCTATAATATGTATGTATCATCAATAAACATTTAGATCTTAAAAAGTCTTTGTGTATTGACGATAAACAAAGGTGACTAAAGTGTACACAGCCAGAAAACCCTTTGTGGCATTTAGGAGTTTTAATAATTTATTGTTTTGTTTATTTACAGAAAATGAATTTCACAAGTTTCCCTTGATTTTGCCCTTCCACCAAGCTCAGTATTTGATTGTCAATGTATTTGGAAATCAATTAAACCCCCCCCCCCCTCCCCACTTCCCTTCAATTCTAGAGTTCAAAAGAAAGCAAAAGGAATAACGGAGGGGAGATTTCTCCCCCCTGAGTGAAAACCCCCCCATCCCCTATACAGGAAATTGTGTCAGGAGAGGATGGATCAATAATGCTGATCAGATTGCCCAACTGGTGTTCAATTGTATCTGTCCCACTTTCTTCCAACACACCTCAAGATCCAGACAGTCAATAAATCAAACCTGCAAGGTACAGTATAGGTGGTATATACAGACACAAGACATAAGAAAAAGCTAAGTATTTAACCATTTTATATTCCAACTTGTCAGAGAAATGCATCATTTTAACACCATGGGAATTCATAGCACATTGATCATACAGAAAAACAGAAAAACCTGTAATTACCAAAGTCTGTCCTGTATTTAACAATAAAATAAAAAAAACAATGGATAAATTGTGAAAAGATTTAAGTCTAGAAAACAATGAAATTCTCAATCAAGTTCCAGAAAAAGGTAAAAATTTATATACATTGATGGAAGAGCTACCAAGATGTTTTTACCAACCAAGATTGTAACGTGGGTAAAACATTAGTGGACATATTCAATATTGAACTCTTGACCGACTCAAGACAGAAAATGTAGGGGCTGCTTATTGTAGCCTTGTCTAGAGACTTGTCGATCTGTTAGAGGAGGAGGGCCTTTTATAATGAACAGAAGTCAAATACCTCGGACATGTTGTTTCACAAGACTGAATTAAAAATTTACCCTCTTATGTTAACAAAATAACGGATTGGCCTTTGCCCTCTACTGGCAAATAATTATCAGCATTACTAGAGTTTGCTTGTTATCATAGAGAATTTTAACCAGGTTTAGCTGAAGTTGAAGATAATTTGAATGACGTGAAAAATAAAAAAGTGCTGACCTGGAAGGATGATATGATCAATAATTTTGAAACTCTAAAACAGATATTTGTAGCCGCACCGTGCCAAGCCCCAACAATTTTTTCTCAGGTAGCTAAACCGTTTATTTCAACCATTCATTTCAGTAAACATGCATGGCAGTAGGTGCTGTACTCTCACAGGAACAGAAAGGTACAGAAAATTTTCTTGCTGAAAAATGCCAAAAATGTAGGCCTTTTGAGTGTAATTATTATTCTAGCACAGGATAAACTAAGTCAACCTAGGCACTTCTAAAAATGTTAAAGAATACAGGATGAGAGAGAGAAAATATCAAACTAGAGAATCTTTAGCCAGGAAAATAAATGGGGGGTATACACCTCTACACACAAATGGAAAAGAAAACAAACTGAACTACAAGTAACATTAAAATAGCTTTATTTTTTCAACCTATAAGAATGTCTATAATAAATATAAACAATAGCTGGATGGAAAAGCTGCATCATCAATTCACAACATAACTTGTCAGAGAAATTTGACACCTTTGCATGAAACACAAATAGTAATATGCCTAATATTAGGGAGAAAGAAAAGCAGAAATATGTGTCAAAATGCTTTGAACAACGGATTAAAATGTGTAGATCTAAAAGAGAGGAACAGAAAACAGATGCATGATTAGCTATAAAGAAGATACAACAGTCACAGAAAAAATTAACTGCTATTTTTAAAATTAGAAAAAAGATAAAATGTTAACAAAAGTTACTTATCACGGATGGCAACACAGTTTTTCCCTGAGCACTATAAAGGACAGTGAAGAGACTATTGGCAAATAACTTGACTTCATTCAACAGTTAAACTATATGGTAACACACTGTGCAGGTATGTATAACAAAATTGCAGATCTCATATTTAGAGCAAAACATATGGATGAGTCAACACCTTGTATTGACTCAATAACTCAAGGTATCAAAGAATTATATATCCAGTTCCATGGTGTAAGGTAAATAATTGTTTAGAATATATACCCCGCCCCCCCCCCCCCCCCCCCCCCCCCCTCCTGCAAAGGTAAAAAAATATCCATTCCTTGGGTAACCTTTTTTATCCCCTTTGTCATTATAATAGCGGAATTCTGACAGTGGATCCTGATGTTTAAACCCTGCTCAGCAGTTACTTTATTTTTCCAACATGTAGTAAGAATATGTATACGAGAAAAGAAAAATAATGGACAGGAAATTTAGCAGGGGTGTAAGAAAATGTGTAAAGCCTACGCTAGCAAACATGTGCAAGCAATAAGTACTGAAATTGAAGAGCTGATATTGAAATACAACAAATTGCCTGGACAGCTTTCAAAATTAAGCTCCGAGAAAAAAACAATCAGGTCAAATGAATACAGGGTTCAGAAAAAACAAGATCTTTTTGAAAATAGTTCTCCTTGTAAAAGTGGCTAATTTACAAGAACATTCCTTTTCTTTTCTTTTTTTTCAAAATTTTCCGATATATGATTTAGAGATGTATGAAAAATGAACAAGAAGAAAGCAAAGAAGAAATCTGATATCACATAAATATTTCAAATATATTGTAAAATTTAATTAAAATTATTTATTATAATTGAAAATTTGCGGGTTCTCTGCAAAACTTGCCCATTTCTTGCTTTTAAGAAGCAATGGAGAAATTAACACAAATAAACATTTTTCTAGTCAGGAATATGAGGTTATCCTCCACATTTTTTATCAGATTAAGGTTTCAATGGTATCCTTCTGAATTAGGCATTGCCATCTTTGCATGGAAGATCATATGAAATTACGCTAACAGTCCCTTTAATCATAAATTTCATGAAACAACAGTTTATAGTATCAAAATGTAATAAGAGGATTTGAAGCAAAATATGCCCAAAATGTGTAAAAGTACAATAGTGTAATTTTGCATGTAATGACATATGTGAATGATTGCATAAATTGCTGCTTTTTTATACAAAAGAAATAATTTGTGTTTCTTTATGCAAAAGTTACACAAATGTTTTTGAATAGAAAACCCTAAAACAAACTAACAGAATTTCTTTTAACAGTGAATATTGTTCCCTAAAATGTAAAACCGCCATTTTTTCCTGATGGTAGTATCATTAATCCCGAAAATGATAAAGATTCATCATCAACAGCAGAAACTGGGAACATTTCTGGAAGTTCACATTCCTTGTACTTTTCTCCAGAATTCCTGATAATCAACATTTTAGACATAAATAAAAAATCTACATCTGGCATTTGTTGTTTCCCAGAAAATTATATGTTTTGTTATCACCATGAAAACCCATAAGACCATTTAGAACTAAATTTTCTATTGGCTATATTAAATATTTTATTGAATTACTTCATGTTAAAGTAGATGCATCCATGAGTTTTGTTGAATTCATCAGCTATATAATCATCTCTACATGAATCAAATTTTATAGAGTCGGAGCAAACATTTTCCTCTTCAATGCTTTGAAATACTTGAGCTTTCAAATGAAGAATTTTGTTCCCATTTAACATATTTCCAGTCAGCTGTAAAGATGTACCACTGGTGATAAAGTTACTATCATGCACAAATATGGCATCACTGTAATCTGGATCCAGCATATGATTAATCTTTATTTCCTCTCCTTTAAAGATGGTTGATTTACACATATAATATGATTGTATATCTTCCTGCCAAGTAAAAACATCTGAAATATCATTGTCTTGATACTGTATCCATTGATGTGTGTGTTTATCTATATAAGATATTGAACCAGATCTGTCAAGCTGTGTTGTAACATAATTAGGCCAGTGCATCAAATAGCTGCAGATGGATATTGAAATGTTGAGATTATGATCTGATTTCTTGTATTCTATTGTACTTCCAGTAGGTTTCTTCTGCAATTTTATTGTTGAGAAAATGAGCTGGTAGAGCATAGCACTAGATATTCCAATAATTAGGAAAACATATATCTTGAACCCAATTTTTCTGTTTTTTTGAACAATTTTAGTTTTGATAATAAATCCGAATCCCAGAACACTAAACACAAAGTTCAATTAGTTTAGGTTGTTAACATGAAGTTAAACATTTACCTGTAACCTAGTAATAATCCGACCCAACCACCAACTTCCCCAATCAGAGAAATAATACTTTGAGAAACATAAACCTAGTTTAGGAATATCTATAGTTAGTTAAACACAGAAGTTGGGAATAAAAATGTTTAGGTAGCTAATTACTTTTATATAAATGTTTTGGTCTCAAGTTGGTTAAAATTTGGTAATTTAATGTTATATTTAACTTTTGTCATGAACAAAATAAAGTAGGGATTAAATGCCTAGTATTTCTAATATTATTATCTTTACCTCTTTAGTAACTGTTGAGGGAGAAAATTCAATCTTAAATGAAAATGGGTCTGTTTGCCCAATGCTAAATACATTCAAGTCAGAAGTCAAATGCTTAAGAATGTAAGTAGTCTGAAGCTTTAGGTTTGGAATATTGCAAGCACCATGTTGAACTTCATATTCAAACTGAGCTGACAATTTGGTAACAACTGAAAAGTTCATGCCATTTTGGTAAATTTTATTTTCTGCTGGTTTTAAAATCTCCATGTTTGATTCTGGATACTTCCTTGCTACTTCCTTCAAGATACAGTCATCATAGGTGATATGGTCATTGTATCCATCATCAAAGATACGCTGTTCTTTTAACACTTCTAGTTGACAAAGATACCAAGGAGTCAATACTTTTCCATAGTTTGCACTAAAAAAGAAATTATTTGTTTAAGTATTTCTAAAATTTTATTATACAAATTCTATAATTTCAAATAGAACAATAAAATTCATATTTATTTTATCAATCACTGTAATCTTTATTAATAGTTGTCATTTTACCTCCACAAATGGACAGTATCTGTATCAATGAAACTGAAGCCTTGTCTCCCTGGTCTAAGAAGCTGGCCGGTTAGATGAACAAATACCCTTAGTTCTTTCTTTGCTTTAACTTTTATAGACTTGATTCTGTTCCAGTGTTTCAGATCCATTGTATGACAAGTCTCAACAAATGTTTCAAACTGTGGTGTATTGATCGAATATATCATATTTTCAGAACTTTGGTTGGATTTTGAATCATAAGCAGTTGCAAGTTTTCCATACTGGTACGTTATATCAATACGTTCTATGATGTTACTAATCTTATTGAGATTGCTCCAAAACCCTGACAAATTACCAATGTATGAGTAGGATGAGTTGAGGAAATCCTCAGCATACAAATTCTCAACATGACACATAGAAACACTGACTTCAGGGAGATCAGTCTCAAGGTTGATATCCGTGGATGAATCTTCATTGATGTACTTTTGACCACTTTTAAAAAGGACAAATAAGACTCCTACCATACATGCTAATTTTAAAATTGCAATCAATCTTAAAAAGCCTTTTTTACAATCTCCAGTTAACAGTTTGCTTGATAAATATTTAAAACTTCCAAGAAGTGAGATTCCCAGTAGAAGTCCAACCCAGCCTCCAAATTCAGCAATGAAAGAAATTAAGGTGTAACTTTCTTGCATTTCAGAGTAAACTATGGTTGAAGGAATATTAATAACATAACCTGGAGTATATGTCATTTCCGTATGCTTTGGTATGACTAGGACATGAAGCCAGTTGACAGGGTTTAGCCTGATGTCAACTTTAACCTGTGTGCAGGGTGTTAGGCAGTTATCTCCACTACTTTGAAACAGTTTCAAAGCTTCTCTTGTTTTTCTTGAGGAATTGAACAATATATAAGGTTGATACCATAAGAGAGGTTTGCATTTTTTCTGCATGTTAACATTCACAGAGTTTTCAACACATTTGTCAAAACTGTAAAATTCATCCATACATTGAGTGCTTGGTGTTGAGAATTGATTTTTAACTTTAATGCTTATCTCAGTATCTACTATGTGGTCAATTGATGGAAGGTTTAACAGTCCATTTCTCAAATCAGTCAGAAATTGTCCTTTCTTGTGAACATACAAGAAAACATTATCTACATAAATATTAAATTTATTGTATTTCAGGTTTTTCCCTTTCTTGAAAAGAGTTGGCAAATTCTTCTTCATAATTTAGCAAAATAATTAAATTCAATGTTTGCTAAATAAAAAAATGATTGTCATGATTATTTCCAAAACTAATGTTTTATTTTGTTGGATCTTATAATTTCCCATAGTATTATGCAAAATATCTGAAATAATAATACTTAACCAATGTGTTTGGCAGGATTTATTCTTAGTCTCGAATACTGTGATAGATCTTGATTCCATGTGTGACAAAGCAATGTATAGTTGTCAACATAAGGATACATTTTTAGCCTTAAAAATAAGTCAGAATGATAAGTTTGATTTTTCTGAAGAGCCTTGGCCAAGGAGTATGAAATATAACGGTCGCAGCCCACCCTACCATATGAGTATACATGCTTTGCAGATGGTACTTCATTTGAATAAGAAATATTTGTCTGATGTACAATTACCACATTTACAATAACCTATTCTGTATATTTCTTATACAAATGGAGTACCCATCTGCAAAGCATATATAATCATATGGCAGGGGAGTTTGCGTCAGTTATATCTCCCTTCTTTTTCATACTCCTTGGCCTTGGTCATGCTATTGAAATGTCCAGCTAGGAAAAATTGTCTTAATATCCCAATGGGATAGATATTTAAGCTGGAATATGTAAAATCCTACCTGAATGAAAGGTCTAAAGATGTATTCTGAAGCTGTGATGTCCATTCAGAACCGTTTAAGAAAACTGCATCAAATTGTGATATAAGATCAGAGATCCTAAATATACTTCCTGATTGTGCTAGAAACTGCTTAAGCAATGCTGATTTTGAATCTTCATCCAATTCACATTTGCTCTAGAAAGTCGTTGATCAAATTAAAGGAAAGCATTGCATTCTTACTCATACTAATTATAATAGATAATAACAAAACATATGTACAATGAATATATGATATACTAATTTAGTAAGAGAATTGAATAGTTAAAACCATTTAAGCAATGCCTCCTGCAATCCTTGAGAAATATATCTATTTTCTAAAATAAGGTTAGTGATGGCAGTTGTTAGAGCATAATGGCAAATTGATGTGGTAGACAGATAAAAAATACAGTTTTTCATAAATAACATACCTCTTGTACTTCTGAGCAGTTTGAATGGTTATCTTGAAAAATAAAAATGTTACCATGATACATTTAAGTAAATTCTAGATAAACAGAGTGTCCCGAAAAAAAAGCAACTGAAAAAAATGACTAAAATCTGAAATTTCACAGAACCTCAGACACAAGAAATAATGTTTGAAATAAAAAAAAAATTATGAATTTTAACAAAATTGATATTGATATTTCAAGATATTGAAATGTACAATATGATGGAAAAATCACATTATCATTAAGTAAATTGATGCTTTTTGTAGATTTAATGTCAGTTAACTCTTGAATTTAAGATCTCCCCAACTCAAGGTTATTTGGTAGGTTTTGTCAACCATTAGCTTAATGTGTGAAAGAGTGCTTGATAGTATTTTAAAAGGATTAAGGTATGGAGGACGTGAGGTGGGTCTCTAATCAAACAAGGAATCACTTTCCTGTATATATTTAAATTCAAGAAATACAAAATATTGCGAGTGTATATAGTTTCGATCACATGAGTCTATATATGAAAGATGCCCCATATCCTTCTCTCTTTAAACTCCTTTGTTCCTGGATCTGTTGTAAGGAGGCTGGGTATCGTCTACCACAAAGGAATGTTTACCCAACCAAATATCTTGGTAGAATATTTTTAGATCTACCAAAATCTACATGTAACAGTCAAATAATGGTGTTTGTATAATGAATGAATAAATTTCATTATTTCTTGAAACTCATGGATCAACTACATAGATAGAAGATTAACCCAAACTGGGTGTCTTAGCAAGTTGGTTTGAAATAGCTTACAGCCTTTATGTTCATATCAAAATGCACAATTGGATTAAAGAAAGAAAATATTTCCATTACTACTGAGACTAAATTCTAGTGATGGAGGGAGGTGCTCCCCATGAAACTATTAGACCCACTGCGTAGAGTTGGTAATACAATCAGTAATCTGCACAGCATTTATGAATACCCAGAAATATACATCTGGATTGATTGATTAAATCAAAATATATTCAGCAATATACTGCTGTAATGTTAGTAAATCCCATCAGGACTGTCAACATCAACATATTATTGTGTGTTGTTAGCTAATTCTTACACTACACATGTGTTTTTCTCACCTGGCATGAAAGGGTTAAATGAATTTAATTTAAAAATGTGTCTTCAGTAATGCAAACTAATACTTTTTTTTAAGGACACTCTTTTCATAATAAATGAATGAATTTAATCCCTGTGGTGGTAGTAAGATATTCCTCTACATCAAATCTTAGGCACAAGGATAACTGAAGGTCTGGTACAGCGTCTAAGTAAAAGAGGTTAGAACCTATGTTTAAAATAATGCTAATCTGCAGTGCCTGAACTAATACACAGAACAGAATCAAAATTATTTTTATTATCTGTGAGACATATTTCAGAGATCTTTCAATAGTGGAAAACAGATATTTTGTGGATTTTAAGGATGATTTTAATCCATTGCATGATAGCAATGCCGATTCACAATGTTACCCTTGAAACCTTAATCTGATCAATAATGTTCAAGATATTGTCGATAATTCAAAAATGTTTTCCTACAAAAGTCACTTCTTTAGAGAAACCAAAATTTTAAATAATTAGTTTTCAATATTAAAAACATTGATATATAATTCATACTTGATGAGACACAGCTTTAAAGGGTATTATTGTGAGTTAGGCATTGTCATCTTTGCTTGAAGTTTGGAGGGTCATATGAAGTTAAGCTTAGTCCATTTAATTTTCAACAATCAGCCTCTCATTGGTTCAATACTAGGACTGCAGAATTATTGAACCACAAAGAGTGCAGAATTTTGTTATTATGAATTGTTTAGATATTTGTGTGATTTTATGATAAACTTTTTGAATGTTTGCCCTTATAATTAAAACCACTCATATCAGAAAAAAAACTTCAAATATGAAATCATCAAAACAAAATGATAATTCTGAAACCATTCCAAAATGAAAACCTTTTAAAGATTTCTCCAGAACATGAATTGACTTTGGACTCTGGATATATTTATTAGCTGTGTTATATCCTTGCCGCAGTGTTATTCCAACACATATTCCAATGAATATGACCTGAAGCACACCATCTATACTTTTTATAAAGCATGCTTGTCAAAATTTCATTGAAACAAAACAAGAAACAAATATCTATCTAAAAGTATTAAATATTATGTTATTTTTAAATATACACCATTAGGCCAAAGTTTTCTACATTAAATAAGAACTATTTATAAAAAATTGCTTGTTATAAAATTTGCTCTAAAAAAGATGGGTTTCCTCAAAAACCCGCACTGGAGTAAAGTAGCGAATCATTGTTTGGTGTGAATCAGAACATCAAACAGCAGTGTACCTTTAAAAAAAGATGTTATATAATGAAGGCAAATTAAAAAGTATAAAAACAGTGGGATAATTTAGGAACTGGGATCAATGCAGATATTTCTTTAGAAAAATACTAAAAACGAAAGGAATGTTTTTGTGAAGGATTGCTTTTTAAAATTAAAAAACGAAGCAGCAGTTTATAAATTTTAATTTTGTTTACTTCGGTAGGTTTTCTCCTATGTAATCTTTACCCGCTCTCTATTGATAATAAGTTCTATTTACCCTATTAAAATTACCGTTTCTTTTGCAGGTCTTAATAATCCATATATCTATCTAATAACAATAAAAAAATTTATGGATTGAACTTTATACATCACCTTTATAGATACCATAGCATATTATTCTAATGAAGGGAGAATTATTTTTATTCCCTGCTATTTTCATAGATCTTTTAGTAAAAAATGCTTCTTAAATCATGATAACTTTTCTTGTTTCTATGTTTATTTTTCAAGTAAAAATTAAAAGTATACCTTTAGAAGGCTGAAAATAATGAAAAGGACTTTTTGTCAAAATAAAAAAATAAAAAATTATCCTCCCTTCTTCCATCCTACGATAATTTATTGGGCCACTTCAAATAAAGGCAATTTTAAGCAGAAAACAAAATTCACTGTTTTTTTAATCCGTTTTGTTTTTGTTTTCAACAGATAATTTTATTGTTAACATTGTTAATGAAGCACCGAAGATAATTTGTTAATGGTTAATGAAATCTTTAACAGTGCAGTCATTATTGGTCTAAGACAACTTTAAAAACATAAAAACACATAAAAAAATTTTAAATAAGTTTCATACAATTTTAAGACGAAAAAAAATCTAATTCACCCTTTAAAAAGATCCGTTTCATTTTCATTTTTAACAGTTATTTTTTTCAAAAGCGGCTAATCTTTTTCATTAACAATTTAAAATTAATGGTTTTTGCCATTTGTTATTAGTGATATTCCATTAATTTTTGAAAACTGCAGTTTTGTTAATGAAACTTTGTCCAGCCCTCTGTCTGAGTCATATTTTGCTCAATTATGTTTAACATAAGTCAGAGTTCTGAGACAAAATTTTGTCCTGTTATATTTAAGGCATAATGTTTTGTATAAGAACAATTCTGAGTGACAAGTCACAAGTACATCTCAGTTAAAGCAAGACGCATTTTGAATTATAAATGATGAGGGTATATTTGCTGTCTTTAATTTTTCAAAAAACCTTGAAAAAAACAATTCTACACATATTAAAAATGTTAAGCTCATGAAGTGATTTATTGACTGAAACTGGCCATCTCATCAAACTTAGATTATTTGATTTAACAGAAAGTATAGTTTAAAATATCTAAGGTATACAAAATTGGGTTGCAAAGTCAGAGGGAATAGAAAGCAGAGTTTTTGTCTAAGACTCAATTACTCAATCCTAATTATTCTTCTTCATGCTTTCAAATGTTGTTTTAGATCCTATCAAATGGCACTTTCAAAGTATCAAAATGGAAAGACAAAAAAACAGCATTAAAACGGGCCATTAATGAACAATTTAAAGAAAAAATTGTACATTATAACTTGCCAGAATATGTATTTATTGAGTTCCAACCATTTACTGAAGTAGAAATTGTAAGAGGGCGTTAACCAATTATATTTTAGTGAATCAATATTCCTTTGAAGAGACATTTCAACAATTTTCGAAAAGTGAGTTGAATTATTAAGAGAGCTGAGCAAAATTCTTTTTACGGATGGGAGGTAGGGTTTCCAACGTAATAGATTATTCTCTTACGCGTAATTACGTGTAGTTACGCGTAATAATTTTCATTTCATGTAATTTCGCAGAATTACGCGTAATTGGGGAAATATCCATTTCGCGAAATTTTGGGGTAATTTCGCGTAATTTCTACAACGTAATTTCGCGAAATTTCATAATGATTATGCATAATAAGCGAAACTATAATTACGCGTAATTACGGCCTAATTTCGCATAATTTCTACGAGGTAATTTCGCGAAATTTTGTATTTATTATGCGTAATTAACGAAGCTTTAACTTTTAATTTAAATAAAACAACTAACTTACAAGGAAAATTATGTCACGCAAGTGGAATTAGAATTTCAGCCAATACTATGTTGATGTAATTTTCACGTTCGACAACTAAAAAGTTTAACAAAGGGCCAACAATTTATTTTTATTAAAAAATACATAATCTATAAAATTTTTAATTATCAATGACTTGTTAATATTTCAACCTACTTACTCAAGTTTACCTTCCTTGTTTGAAAAAATGTCGAAATAACTGTCCCGCTATAATTATTTCTGAGAATTAATATGTACTTTATTTATTACGGAATTGTTTCGTATTAC